GAAAGTGTAGAATGTCCAACCTTGTTCATATTCCTTCCTAATGTAGTGTCCTTACCCTTTTCATCACAAACTCTTCAAGTAAAGTAAGTTTGAACTCCTTCCCAGTTGTGGAATCCCTGTTGAACTTGATGACTTGTACAACAAGTAATTTAAATTACAACTCAATTTGGACTTGTTATGTCTACGATAATTGCCAAAAAAATAAATAATATCTCACATTTTTCTGGTCCCCCCTCTCCATCCTATACTCTAATTTGCTTGGTTTTTCTGAACAGCTGAGGACTTTGCGAGACGGGCATTGTTCAGGGGTTGGTTCACTTGATTGGAACAATCACATCCTGACAACCGGGGGAATGGACGGTTTGATCATAAACAACGATGTAAGAATATGATCCCACAATGTTGAAACATATAGGGGACACCATCAAGAGGTTTGTGGACTGAAATGGTCTGCATCAGGCCAGCAACTAGCAAGTGGGGGGAATGACAATCTCCTCTACATATGGCATATCTCTATGACCTCTACAAATTCTGCCAATCGGTGGATTCACTGCCTAAAAGACCACAGAGCCGCTGTGAAAGCTCTTTCCTGGTGTCCTTTCCAGAGTAATCTGCTTGCCTCCGGTGGTGGGGTAGGAGACCAGTGCATAAAGTTTTGGAACACCCACACTGGATCACGCCTGAACTCAGTAAATACAAGTTCACAGGTCTGTTGCTTGCTTTGGAACAAACATGAACGTGAGCTTATGAGCTCTCATGGCTTCAATGATAACCAACTTACCCTATGGAAGTATCCTTCTATGGTCAAGATTATAGATCTTTATGGTCATACATCAAGAGTTCTTCATATGGCTCAGGTGAGTTGGGTCATCAATAAATCATATGCTTTAGTCCTGTTCTTGTTTTATGAATAATAGGTTTTCTATTTTTTTCACTCCCCTTTTTTTATGGATGCATTTCAGAGTCCAGATGGGTGTACAGTTGCATCTGCAGCAGCGAATGAGACACTATTGTGGAACGTGCTTGGAACTCCTAAATTGGCCGTGAATGCTCCCAAAACGAAGCCAGAACCATTTGTTAATCTCTCCCGCGTCAGGTGAAGAGCATGCACCTGGAATGGGTGATTAAAAGCATTTTTCTTGGTACATGCTCCATTGGATTTGTGACGAAATTGGCTAAAAATTATTCAAGGGGAAAAAAACGAATAAAGAAGTTGCTAAAAATTAGGATATTTAAGGTATGATGAATGTTTATTTTGTTCTTAATTTACACAAAATCAGCCCAGTTTTTAATAAAAAAGTATGGATCATACTTTATTCTTTGCTTTTGATATGAAGTTAAGGTTCCCATATAAGAGCAACCGCCAAGCAGTATATTAGCCCCATATCTACAAGCCTTCATTTTTGAGGAGGAGGAGGAGGAGGAGGAGGAGTCATCCTTGCCTTTATCCTACAATCAGGATCGGCCACATGGATTCCTTTTCCACTCTATTCTATCATAAGGTACATCTCCTACTAAACTAATTTTTTTTTAATCATTTCTTATCACTTCATTCCATGTTAGTTTTGGTTGCCCCTCGTTTTTCTAATTTGTTCTTTTGTTGGCAAAAATGGTTTGATCCCATATCACAAACTCGAAGTAAAAATTACCTTTGAAAGAGTCCATTTTCTGTTATAGAGGATAATTATTTTCAGCCAAAGAGGCATTCTGGTCTTTTTTAAGTCTTTCTAGCAGTAGAAATTCTTTCCCTCTGAGGGCATTGCATTTCTCTATTCCTATCCTTAGTCAGTTATCTCTAACAGCGATTTTGAAATGTAATCATTGGCTGTGCATTCATACATGCACATATATATATATCAGCTGCAATTTAAAACAGATGTTTTTGCAGAAATCTCAAAGAGCTTAATATGTTGATTTATAAAAGATCTAGGACTGAAAATTGCATCCCCTTAAATTCTGTGAAGATCGAATTGAACAGACAAACCCTCATCCAAGTTTCAAAGCTCTATTTTTGGGTGATTTTGATCTTCAACAGCAAGGGAATCTCACTTGTACTGAAGCAAGTGATTGTGCCGACAGTTTAGAAGCATTTCATCTTGATTATACTCTGATCAGAAGCCCTCTCTACAAGCTGCAGATCTCTATCCTCTGACTGAAATTGTGTGTTTTTTGTGTAAGTGTTTTGTAAAGCACTATTGACCTTTAGTTTCAGTGGAAAAATATTGTGTTAGTTTGTACTTTGTGAGATAGAACACTCTTGAGTGTGTGAAGAAAAGCGTTGTGTGTGTAATTCTTTTCTTTTCACGTAGTGGATAAGATTTCAAGCTAAATTGTTTCATGTCTCGTGTGATTGTTGATCTCAAATTGTGTTAGAAGTCATCTACAGTGAAATAAAAATTGGAAATAATTATGCTTAAACTGCTATAACTGAAGAAGAGGCCAAATTGTACTAAACTCAACTGTATTATCAAAAATTGCAAACTACCCCCCCTCTATTGGGGTTTTTTTTTTTTTTTTTTTTTTTTTTTTTTTTTTTTAATTAAATTCCTCAATTCACCAAAAGTTACAAATTATCTTCTTTTGAAAAGTTAGAATTTAGAAAGTTACAAATTATCTTCTTTTGAAAAGTTGGAATTTTGGTGTTAAAGTGATGACTCTTTGAGCTTATTGTTTGGACAAAAATACCCCTTACGGATGCTTATTTTGTCCTTTAAAATTGATTTTACAAATGAAAAGCTGAATGTTTGTTGCATATGCATAAGTGATGGCCATTTTGTCTCAAAGATGGTTTTGTAATTCTTAGAGGCAATATCAAAATCATAATAATTTTTTTTTTTATATATATTAATTTATGTAGTGAAAATCATGTTAATTCGATTTCGGCATAACCACTTCAAAGAGTACAAAATAGGTGCATCAAAAAAATGCAGAAAATTCATTTATTTACGGACATTTTTCCTATGCAATGTAATTTGGAGAGTTTTTAAGGTGATTATAAAACAATTTTTAATTATTTAAAGTGGTGAAGAACCAATTACCCATTATTCTTTAGTGTTTTATAAAATTTCTGAGATTCAAACCACCGAGTATTTATCTAACCTTAAAAGAAAATAATAATAAGAAGAAAGAAAAGTAATGATACTATGAGGTTGAACTCATGACAATTGTTATGAGTTTTTTTGTCTTTTTGCCATGATCATGTTGAAATATTAAGATGCACATTTAACCGTTCGAAAAAAAAAATAAAATAAAATAAAATAATAAAATTGTATGAGAACTATAGTAAAGAAATTCGTACCAAAAATCATTTACAGTAAAGAGTAAACCATGGGATTGAACTTGTAAATATCTTTTTTTTTTCTTGATTTCATTAAACCAAGTTTCGAACCAAGACTCTCACACCAACTCTCGAAGCTTCCAACTAATTGAGACACAAAGAACGTCTCACGTCATGCCAATTTGAAAAGTGAAAACACTGTAAAAGCGTTATAGTGTTTTACAAATATGTAAAAAATGATGGTGCATTGATTGAGTTAAATAATTCTAGAATGTTGGAGAGTTATTGTGGTGTGTTGACAGTCTTCTATGTATATATTAGAGTGTTGGTAGAGGTTTATAGTGTGTAAAGAATATTTTTTGAAAATTAGGGAGTGATGTATGGTCGTAACTCGTAACGATGGATATTTTGGTGTAATAATGCATTGAACGTGTCCATTTGAGAGTGAAATGTCTATATAAAGCATAGGAGAGTCCCATTGGTAGTCAATGAGCTCGAACAATGTATTTGATACCGAAAGTGTATTATTATTCATCACATTATAATGGTGGTGAGACGACTTAATGCAGCACAATATCTAATGGATGTGGATGATGGGATAAAATTTGATTGTTTAAAGTTTGTATATCACGACTAATTAATCAGTGGTTAGATTTGAAATTGGATGAAACTGTAAAAAATATGTAGGCTTGTTTCAACCAATTTCATATTGGCAATTGTTTCAACACTATTTATTTTAATGTATTTTATAAACTAAATTGTATATAGTAATTAATGTCAGTTCTCATTATTTCATTTAAACCATATCGGGAAGTAATTCTTTACCACAATTAAAAAAATATGGATATTATTCTCAAATTACAAATCTAAAACTCTGATGTTTTCGGATACATGAAATTGGAGCATTGAAATTAACAAATTTGAAAAAAAAAAATAGTTTATTTTTCTTAATTATTTTTTTTCTAATCCAAGACTCCAATTGCCGAACATAGCCTGAAAGATATTATCATCTTCCAAATTTTGAGTTGAATTTCATGAAGTTAAGTAATAAAGTCTTTTGAGGCTAAACCTGAAATGGAAATTGAGTCTCTTGTTAATTATTTGATCGTAAACTTACCACAGTGGTTGAATTTAACCTTTAATTTTTTTCCTTAACAATTTAACTTTCAATTTTTTTTTTTGTTTTCATAAGCACACTGAGTCGTACGAGCTCTTAGCGAAAGTAGAGCTACTAGAGAAAGTTTTATAGTTGCACAGGAGAAGCTACATGAGCGTGGACGAGAAAAGAAAGTGCCAGCTTGTGCAATAGAACTACTTTCAATAAACTACCAGCCAATTTATGTGTAATACACTAATACTTATAAATTAAAAAATTAAATTAAAAATAAAAAATAAAAAATAATAATAATAATAAAAATAAAAATAAAAAAAATAAAAAAAAACAGTTATAGAGCAATTTCCGAGTCAACTATTTTATGAAGCTGGGTCCACATGACACGGGACATCGTGCCACCTCAACAACTTTCACATTGGTTAAGCAATAATTTTACTTGATCAATGTATTGTGTTGCATAAATAGCATACCACAAGGGGTGATCCTAATTCCCTATTTTATATGATACATTAGTGTTTGGACATCAAAAAAAATCAAGAAGAACAAATTCACCCCAATATTGATTTCAACATTTTCACGCTGTATTCCAGCTCCTGAAATGCGTCCAGGTTGTTTTAACAACTTTGCCTCTGATCAGATTGAAATAATTTTATTTAGAAATACAAAATATTTGTTGAATCTCTCTGATCAATTTATGCACAAATACAAGAACCTTGTCCATCTATATTAGTTGTGAAGTGTGCTTTCACTTTACAACCAGAAAGCCATGAACCCAATTAAGGTTAAGATGACAGAGAGATATTATACTGAAAATATATGCACATTTCAGATGATAGATTGGAAACACAGCAAACAACACATGTATCCATCCAAACCCTAGCTACGATAATCAAGCGCCAGTAGGGACTAATTCGGATTCCATAAAATTGGGTGCACTCACCATCATTCCAATCCAAAAAATCCATCATTGCTGTTCCACAGGGATCAAAAACACGCATAGAGTTCATGTTTCTTGTAAAACGAAATTGCTCAGCAACAGCAACAAAATCAATTAGGTTGCTTTCCTTGACAGTTGAGTTCAATCCTTCATCAATTGGCAATTCCATCATCCTACCAATGTCTCTTCAGCAACAAAGATCACTTGATTGCTTTCCATATTCTTGGCGCGGACATTATCGAGAAACTCAAAGCATACAGCACATTTAGAGGATTAATAATATCAAACAATGTTAGAGAAACTGCATACTCAAACACTAATTAACATTTTTATTTTATCACAACTTGCTATGTCCATATTACGAAATCAGGTTTTATAAGGGAATGCACAGCCAGTTCAATACGGGACGATGATGGAGTCTATAAGCTCTTGAAGTGGAGCGAGTTCTTTCTTATCAATCAGCCCGAATTCCTGCACAGGAACAACAGAATATTTAATTTACTGGAAAGAGATTATGGTACATTGTTTTATGCAAGCAATGAGGATTTTAACAACCAAAGGAATATGATCAGTTTCCTGTGACGGAAACATCCTTCTACACGCCATGTTCCTTGTAAAGAAAATAAATACTATCTTTGGAGAGCAAGGATTTGAAACAATGAAATACGGGAATGGGTATACATAGTCAGACCAATCATAAGGAGAATTTTGGTTGAACAAATCATTTAGTTTCTCATTTACAATCTTAGTGATGCTCCTGTATGCTAATCTTCCAATCGATGTTACAACAAAATATTCTATTTCCTCAACAAAAGGTAAACTTTTTTTTTTTTTGATAAGTAACAAAAGGTAATCTTTTCAAGATATAGTTCTTTCTATGCTCCTATAAATACTTTGCTAATTCATACAAGAAATCATGGATTTATTGTCTTCCTTCGTATCATTTCTATTATTCTATATTCTAAAAACCACGACAAATTGACTTTAGATCCTTAGTGATGCAGCAGAGGCCTGTGTTACTGCTGTATGACACCAAATGAATGTCTAGGATCAATTGATCCAAAGTCCTAAACCAACCAAAGTTTGAAGGAAAAATAAAAATTAGAAAAGATATTGAAGTAAGCATCTTACTGAAAATTAATTTTAATTTGATTTCATCATTCTCCTCAAGGCCATACATAAATATATACAGTACTACTGTACTATTAAAAAAACAATAAAAAAGAAAACTCATGAAGACAGCCTGACTCATATCCCTATAACATATAATCTTATAAAAATAATAATAAAAGAGAGAACCCATGAAGACAGCACCAACTCATATCCCTATAACATCTAGTTTTTTTTTTTTTTTTTTTTTTTTTTCACTAGTCCTACTATAAAACTCTCCAATTATTATTTTTTTCTTTTTCTTTTATTGTTCTTTTTCTTTTAACAACATTATCCATCATGCCGGGGTGGATTTGGCATCCCATATGTTGCATATACTCCTTAAAAGAGTATAATACCAAGTCAATGGCTACTCTATTATCACTCTTCTTTTTCTTCCTCCTCTTCTCATTCGCCAATTCTATAATGCTCTCAAAACCACATAATTCATCTAACCCTTCAGCTGATTGTGGGGTTTCTTATCTCACAACTTCCTATAGCAGAGAAAAATATTTTGCAAGTGTGCCAGGCACCAATATGTCAAATATCCCAGAGATGTCAGCTTCTACAAATCGTGGCATGAACACGCTAATAATACATAACTTTATTATTCTAAAGTACAACGTATAAGAAATTAGTGCCAACTGCCAACCGAAAAGAATAAGTTAGTGCCGCCTATTTTATTATACAAGTTGACCTGACACGTTTAGTTAAACGGGTTGACACAAACCCAGACACAACCTGTTTAACTAAACGGGATAAGACATAAAGACAATTCAGGTCAATTCAAACCCACTAACTACATGTTGGCAGGTCTTGTGGAATTTTGACACCCCAAGTAGACCTTATATCTATCTTATACCTCCCTCTCTAGTTTCTGTAGCAACGCAGAGACCCTCCATTTGGCGGACGAAGACAACGGTGACCACTGACCACCATTATTGGATCCTCATTGCTGAATGAAGAATACAAGAAGCAGTTATTATGGATGAACAAGACAAGACAATTGTTTTTTGGATTAAACCTCTTCAACATCTCTCTCTCTCTCTCTCTCTCTCTCTCTCTCTCCGCCTTTTAAATAGATTTTTTCAAATCTTGTTAAAAGATATATGCCTCTTTCTTTGACTTCTGTTAGTGACATGATTAATAAACAAGTCATGTTTGGCTATATAACTGAATATACCTAGGTTGACACGACATGGACACGAACTGCAAAAATGAATTGCCACTCCTAATTGGTAATCGTGAATATTTGTCTTAAAGTACCAGTAGTAATGTTGATCTATACTACAAATGCGATCACTACATTAAAAATAGTATTGCAAACAATGTCTTGAAGATGTCAACACAATTTTCAGGTGTTCAAGATGGCTACAATTTATATAATTACATGTCCAGCAAATTCTAAACTAGCCATAATTTCTAAGCCCCAAGGAAGGAAAAACAAAAAGAGAAAGCAATACAGTATTGAAAATGGTCACTAGCTTATTTGTCTAATAGCACAAGTTTCAAAAAGCCATCCTTATACCAATCGAGGATGCTGGGAGACACAGACCTAACCTATGGCATTATTTGGACAAAGTAACTGCTCTCAGGATACGAACAAGAATGATTGAATGCCCAAGCATTTTATATATGCTTATACTAAGTACAATATCTAAATTTGGTCTGCATTTCATTTAATTTGGAACAGCAGTACATGAACGAGGAAAAATAAATAAATAAATAAAAATTTGCTTGAGATAAGCTATGATAATCATAAAAAATGTTCTGGTGCAATGTAATTGATAAATTTCAATTTAAGAAAAAAAAAAGTTGGTTGCTTTTTTAAAAAAATATATATATATATCAAATAAAAGAAAATCAGAGCATAAATTTCCCAACTGGGTCACAAGAAAAGCTAAGGGCATTTGATATCACATGGAACTGTTATGCTCTCATTTTCTCTTCCTTAAGAGAAGTCACAAATCCACCCTTTATGATGAAATTATGTAAAAGCAGAAGTGTCGTTCCTAAAAAGACTATCACACCAAAAATTGAAAGGAAAATCATGAAATCTAAAATTTCATTTTATTGATAATATAAATTGACGATTCTCATTAACTTTGAAATATAGAACAACCTCAGCTGAAATGCCTTGCAAGAAAGATTAGTGTGAATCAATAGCAAATGCAGTCCATAACAAATAGATAAGTTAGGAATTTAGAGTTGGGGGTACTATGTGGTATCACATGGAAGCCAAAAAAAACGTAAGTAGATTAACTGAAATCATTAATAATGAAATCTAGATTATGCTAATGGTATGTAATAAACATGATTTAAGTTTGAATAAAGTTGGCAAATTTAGAGAAATGGATTTCTAATAAGGAGAGCAAAGAAAATAAAGTTAATCCTTGCGATTGAACAACTCATACAGGTAAAAAATTGAAGAAAAGGATTTCTGATAAGGAGAGCAAAGACAATAAAGTTAATTGTTGCGATGAAGAACTCACACAGGTAAACAATATGAAGTGCTTGAAGCAAGTATTCAGATGGGCCTCCTCCTTAAGACTCACAATCTTCTGAAAGTGAGAGTGATATATATGAGCATATACACGGAAAAGGCGCTTGAATATTGTTTTCACAACTTCCCTGAAGTTGGAAGGAAATGGCGCGCCTGCAAAATTTAAAATCAGCAATGCAGGATGGTATGAAGATAACTAAAGGGAAAAATAATCTGTCACCCTAAACCAAAAAGCCAAAAAAAATTATATAACAGCACAGAAAATATTGAACCCAACTGGCCTCTTATTCCCCCCGAGGATACCATATTTGACTTTATTAAAATGAAAATAGCTGGATAAGAAGATATAGCTGGAGGCGGGTGGGAATATGGAGTCTCTTTGTTCTAGAAGAGCTTCCTATCAGGCAGCTCTAGCTGAGATTGTTTGTATGGAGGAGATTTCGTGGCGACAAAAATCCCGGGCTCTTTGGCTGAAAGAGGGTGACCGTAAGACAAAATTTTTCCACAGACTTGCAAACGCCCACAGAAGGAGTAATCACATAGGACGTATATGGGTGGAAGGTGTGGATTTGTGGAGGGAGGAAGAGGTGCGTAGCGGGATCGTTTCTTTTTATCAGAAACTTTATACAGAACCTTTAGGTTGGCGACCCAAGCTTGATGGTCTTCATTTTGAGGCTATTTCTAAGATGGAGAGAGATGGACTAGAGCTTCCTTTTACTGAAGAAGAAGTCCTAAAGGCATGGGTTTACTATGCGCTTCTTGTTGGAAAGTTGGGCGGTTGTGAAAAATGAAGTGATGAGCACCTTTCAGGAGTTTCATTCTACAGGTGTATTTGAGAAATCGCTTAATGCATCGTTTATTGCCCTCATCACTAAGAAAGGAAATGCTTCAGATATTAAGGATTTTCGTCCTTTTAGCTTAGTGGGTTGTATTTACAAACTCATAGTTAAGGTGCTTGCTCAAAGAATGCGAGAAGTTATGGATGGGATTATTTCAGATTCCCAGAATGCCTTTGTTGGAGGTAGGCAAATTCTTGATTCCGTTCTTATTGCCGGTGAATGTGTGGATTCAAGGTTGCGTAATGGTGTTCCTGGAGTTCTGTGTAAACTTAATATTGAGAAAGCTTATGATCATGTTAATTGGAATTTCCTTCTCTACTTGCTTCAAAGAATGGGATTTGGAAATAGATGGAAGACATGGATTCATACATGTTTGTCGTCTGTTAAGTTCTCAATTCTTGTGAATGGTTCTCCAGCCGACTTTTTTGGGTGCTCTCGGGGTATAAGACAAGGTGATCCCTTGTCCTCTTTTCTTTTCCTTATTGTTATGGAGGGTTTAAGCAGACTTATGCGCCGGGCAGAGAATCTTGGTCTCATCAAAGGATTTCGGGTGGGAAGAGATATTGCAATTCAGGTGGAGATTTCTCATTTGTTATTTGCAGATGACACTCTGGTTTTTTGTGATGCAGAAGTGTCTCAACTTAGATATTTGAGATGTATTCTGGCTTGCTTTCAAGCAGTTTCCGGGCTATAGGTTAATGTGGCCAAGAGTGTGCTTGTTCCGGTTGGGAATGTACAGGACATCTCTTCTCTTGCCGCAGTTCTTGGGTGTAGGGTGAGTTCCTTTCCTATTCCTTATTTGGGTTTGCCCCTAGGGGTTTCTCCCAGATTAGTGGGGAGTTGGGATTCTGTGATTAATAGGTATGCAAAGAGGTTGGCAGGTTGGAAGAAGCAATATTTGTCAAAGGGGGGTAAAGTTTCTCTTATCAAGAGCACTTTTTCAAGCCTTCCCACTTATTTTCTTTCTATGTTCCAAATCCCATGTTCCGTTGCTGATAGAATTGAACAAATTCAACGGAATTTCCTTTGGGGAGGAAGGGGAGAAGAGTTCAAGTATCACCTTGTTCGATGGGAGCAAGTCTGCAAGCCTATAAAACTGGGGGGTCTCGGTATTAGACGATTGATTCCTTTTAATCAAGCCCTTTTGGGTAAGTGGTTGTGGAGATACGGGAAGGAAACTCATCGCCCTTGGCGTAGATTAGTTTCCTGCAGGTATGGGGATGATGTTGGAGGATGGACTACACGTCCGGTTTCTATTGCGGGAGGAGTTGGGGCTTGGAAATCCATTCGGAAAGGATGGGATGCCTTTTCTCCTCATGTTAGATTTAGAGTTCGTGATGGCAGTCGCGTTCGTTTTTGGGAAGATCTTTGGTGTGGACATCAGCCTTTATGTCGTACTTTCCCTAGATTATTTAGTATTACAGTTGATAGACATGCCACCGTAGCTAACTGTTATCAGCTTGATAATAGTGGAATTACGTGGAATGTTCTCTTTCGGCATTCTTTTCAAAATTGGGAGTTAGATGATGTGAGCATTTTCTTGGATCAATTGTATCGGCAGGAAGGAATTGGCAGGGGTTATGACAATTTGATTTGGATTCCCTCTTCTCACGGTCGTTTTGAAGTAAGATCTTTGTTCTTATGTTTGTCTAATTTTGCACCCTCTGATTTTCCATGGAAGACTATTTGGTGTTCTATGGCTCCTACTAAGGTGGCTTTTTTTGTATGGACCGCCGTTTGGGGTAAGATTCTGACAATCGATAATTTGAGGAAAAGGGAAAATTATTTTGTTAATTGGTGTTGCATATGTAAGCAGAATGGGGAGTCAGTTGATCATCTCCTAATGCATTGTTCTGTAGCGCACGACTGTTGGAATCTTATTCTTGGGCTTTTTGGCATGTATTGGGTAATGCCACATTCTACTAAGGAGTTGATTCATGCTTGGAGAGGTTGTCATGTGGGTAGAAATGTTCGTGATTATTGGAGATCTGCACCGCATTGTATTTGGTGTTGCATTTGGAGGGAGAGAAATAGTAGAATGTTTGACGGAAAGGAGTCGTCTACAGCAATACTGAAACTTTTTATTATTCGTTCTCTCTTCAGTTATGTGAACAGAAGATCCTGTTCCTCTTCTGATGATTTAATTTCTTTTTTGGATTCTTTGGAGCCTTAGTTCCCGGTTTCCTTTATGTCTATGGGACGCGTTCCCCTATTGAACGCCTTTTTTAATTTATTATTACTTATCAAATAAAAAAAAGATATAATCCATATTACCAAGTTTTTGAGGAAATATGGACTCATCATCCAGCTGAGCTTCAATCCAGTCCATCAAGTATTCAACATATTTTGGAGCTGAAACTTCAATAGGTTTCTTGATTTGTACACCATCTGCCCATCTATACTCATACCTGTAAAGTTTGATCTGCATAAAGTCAGGATTTCAAATTTATAAAGCATTATTACGCAAATTATGGGAAGTTGTAGGATTTTCTTAAGATCAATACCAATTAAAATAGATAATCATTAAGTTGGTGGATTGACTTGTTTGAGCTAAAATTAAAAAGTAGGGATTTGTGGGGAAGATTCATGGTTCAAAGTAGGACTGTCAACAGGTTGGTTTTGGAACAGAACAAGGGCAGTCTTAATCCAATCTGCCAAGAAAAAACAGTTTTCTTACTTGATCCAATAATCCAACGGACCACATCTTTGGTCCATGGGCCCACCAATACACAGATCACTATCCCAGTAGGTTGTGAGAAGAACTTAAGACCCATCAGAAATGTGTGCGTGCGTGTGCAGGTGTGAAATCAAGTTAAACTCATGGAGGATTGATCCAATAAAGCCCAAAGATGGAGAAAATGAACACACCCATTAGTACTGCGCTAGTGTGCTGCCTGACAATAGATAAATCACAGAGATGAGTGCCCACAAATCCCATACCAACAGACAATTAATAAATAAGAAAGAGGGCCCATAAGTCTCATGTCTTCAGTAACAATTTCAGGTGCTGCTTTTTGCATAATACAAAAAGTAGGAAATTTCCATTTTCTAAGAAACAAGTCATTCTTTCAATCCCCCAACCTCGATTAGCCGAAAATCCAACACACAGTGTCCTACATTGCAATATCACTCCCAAGAAAAATTACATTACACAAATAGTTTAAATTTACAATTAATATCAGCACATCTCTATTGCAAAGTCTTCCACGACAAATCTCATAAACATCTGAAGTCGTGATCCTTCATGCCTAATGAGTGTGTTCCTATTGCATGCTTCATCAAGTCAATGTCCTGAGAAGCAGTGAGGGATGGTAGGGGGTATTGAACTTAAAAAACGCAGTAAGAAATCATCAATCCCAAAATTCATACAATTTTTTATAAAATAGATTGTCATACCATAAACCAAATAATACCCCACCAATATAGATTGCAAAATTGTCCAAGTTCATTCAAAATGAATTTGTCCAAATCAAAATCATTGTTTTTTCACATCAATCCCATTCCCTTGCATCCGGCATGTGATCTTGGAAGACATCCCTCCTATGAACCCAATGTGATTGTTTTGCTTTGGCACAACAGGTACTCAGCCTTTCAGCTTTCAGCTACAATTTAGGTATCGCCATTACAGACCCCACCACATACCCACACTCAAAAAAGTCTGGATTTTATATATTTTCTATAATCCCATGTTTAAAACAATATAAGCAATTCAAACCTTTTAGATCAAGTAGGAACTCTTGTAACATTTTCAATAAACTAATAATTTCTATATGATAAAGTAATAGCATGATTCAAATCAAAATCATATATATCATCATCAAAGCGTCAAAAAAGAAAAAGAAAAAAAGGTGTAATATGGATGAATGAAATTAGGAAAATGAAATCCTACCTTTGAAGTTTATGGACAAAATCTAATGAAATCTCTCTCATTTCCTTTTTCTCCTCATGGTCTTGCATTATCTCCTATGTTTTTTTTTCTACCAACCCCTCACAGCCGAGACACTCTCCCACGTTTTTCTCTCTAACTTAACGTGTCTTTGTCTTTCCCTTTTCTTCCAGTCACACTCTTCAACCTATTATTTATGTACATTTATCAAGAAGCTATGTCATAATAGGACTTTGTTCTCTATTCTAATTCAATCAAAGTTTCCTTTTTAGTTTCAGATTCCTCTTTAATTTCAATGATTAATCTTATACATATATATATGTATATATCTTTTTTGTATCTATCAGATAGGTTCCCATATCTTATCAACTAAATTGAGATAGTTTAGTGATATTTATTAAAATAATTTCTAATCTTATATTCTAATTAGTTAGATTGTATATAGGTCATTAATCATTACACTGCCAAAAAAACTTGCCCACACCACAAAACAAATCAAGAAAACAACTGTACTAGAAACCAGATATTACGCACATTTCTCATAAAACTGCCTAATTCAGTAGTCATATTATTGAATCTCATCAAAAAGAACAGTCCTTTAAAAAATCACATTGTCATTTTCCCAAGGGATCACCGAGTCATGGAGTCTATGGAAGATTAGTAGAACTATTTCCAACTCCCAACCAAGAAAGTCCTAATAGAAACCACTTCACAGTTCATGCTTCCCTCCCATTTTGCAAAATCTTCATCCATGCTTTCTCCAGCGGTAGTCTCTAAAAGATGTGGAAAAGGCCCCAACAAAGAGGACCTGCCGTGGTAACTGCCTCTTTTATTTCACCTGCCTCCTCACTCCCACTGTGAAGTGTCAAAGGGTCTCTTTGATAGACTCCGCATACCCAATTACAATTGCTAAAAGCCGCACTAGATGACTGCCTGAAATTGGTTTGTCCTTCCCTCTCCATCAACTCTGTACTTCCAAAAAACCATGTTCTTTTACAAAAATAATGAAGGATGAGCACCCAAGCCACCAATCTTCTTAGGCCAGACTATTCATTCCCATTCAACAAGATTGTAATCGAGTTCATCCTAATTCTAGCCCAAGGAAAATTTTCTTTCAAGCTTCTCCAATTTCTTAGCAACCAAGACCAAAATGTGGGAGGGGGAAAAAAGGTTGGAATGCTCATTCAAGTACTTTACACTGACTTTAGTTTTCTCCCCCATTGGAAGGATAAGTCCTCTTTCACTCAATCTCCGCTCAACCATCTCTCTGACTCTCTTTCCATAAAAGAAGCCCCCGGCAATCCAAGGTCAGAAAAAGAAGGCTGCCCAATTTACAACAAAGACTATCAGTAGAGGCACCAACACTCCCTCTCCTTCCACCAATACTTACTCATCTAACCTAAGTTCATATTAACGCCCCTAATGCCTTAAAACAAAGCAAAAAACCCCTTGAAAGAAAATTTTAAACCTCTAACGCACCACAAAAACATGATTGCATCATCAGTATAAAGCAAACTTCTCTCTGCTGGAAACACCATCTAGCAAATCGGCATCCATTGTTCTCTGGATCGTTTACTAGTTTCTTCTAAAACCACTCTGAAAAGTAAATAAGATAAGAAAATCTCCTTGTTGAAGAACTCCAAAACTTTCAAAAATTACAACAAGTTTCCAACTTATCATAATTGGGAGGAAAAAAAAAATGAGATAGAATTGGTGATCCATCTCTTCCAAAAAGCCATCCTCCTCAGTAGAGAAGGACCCTCCCAATTAACATCATAGGCCTTCTCAGCATTTAATTTGAAAATTAGCATGATTATGGGTTTCTTTCCGTCTCTGAATTTCAAATGAAGCCAGGACGCCCACTCATATATTTTAATTTCTAACACTCAATCACGATGAGTACAATTTTGTCACCCAAAAAAATGTTTTTAGAGTAAGAAACAACCTTTCCACAACCTTGCTCATCCGCGTTGCAAGAACTTCAACAGCAATGTCATGACCACTACCAACCAAAATGATAGGCATGGTATTTTTGTCCACCCCATCTCCCTTCCGGAACTAAGTACATCTTTAAAATTTTGAAGAACTCCTCAACTATTAATTATTGATAAAATTATCTTGAATGGTTATTTAGCAAAGCAAAGAAGACTGAAAGAACGGCCCATCGGCCATTATAACAATAATGAACATAGAAAGCCCTTGACTTGATACTAAAAATATTGACACATTTGCCAAAAAAAAGTAAATACTAAAACTTTTGAACATTAATCTCATGATTTTATTTTATTAAATATATACATGTATGTGCGTATCCTATAGAATCATTGCTAGGGAACTAGACACATCGAATTGATTAAAAAGCCATTCAGTTCTAAGACACTTAGAACTTATAAGAATATGACTACACTCTATTATAAAGAAAAACACTTCAAAAAATGCCTTTAAATATCATCCATATTCATCGCAGACAAAAACAATTATCCAACTCTAGAAATTTCCTGATTTTGTAGGTTTTTAAAAAGAAGTAAATTTATATTCTAATCCATCCAGGCATCCATCTTTCCATTCAAACATATCTAAATTTATATATATGTATATAGTAACTGTTGTGGATACATGGTTTTGATGCAAGAGACGTTCCAGAAAGTCTAGGTTTTCTTTCCATTTCTTGATAAAATAGAAATAACCCAATTATATATATATATATATGTATACAAAACATATTGACAAATATGCGAGAAAAACGCAATAACAAATGTCTTGATGATAATTAGAGTAATAACTGTACCTACTAAGGTCATCTGAGGAAGTATCAAAGCAGTAATCTAAACTTTTGAAACATACTTTGGAATATAATACAAGTGCATATCTGAAAACTGATATGTACGTATCACTAAAGCAATCAATTTAAAATTTGTTAAGACATACTTTGGGCCTGCAGTCATTGTGGGACAGATCTCTGCTGTACAGAACTCTGTGAGAGTACCATATAGGAGATTCACCTGGTTGAAGAAATCAACAGCTGAAAATTGAAGAATCAGACAATCTCCATTCAGATTTGGGTCTCAGAGAGAAGCTTTTCTAGTAGATTGCCCAAACAAAGAAGGAATTTGATATTGATTAAAAAATAAACAAAAATTGCATTAGCAGAATGAATGTAATACAGAAATTTAGCAGCATCCAAACTGGATGTGTATTGGACATGAACACTTTTTGTCTACTCTTCCATGGGTGCATTCCCAATGCTCTCAACATGTTACAGATTGAAGTACAAGCTTTTTAATGCAGGAATGAGGGAGGGTACAATAGTTGTAAACATTAAATGCAACGGATTAATAAAAGATTATCAAAATATAAAATAGAATAAACAAGGTATAGTGCTTACAATGTGACGGGTTAATAAAAGATTATCAAAATATAAAACAGAATAAACAAGGTATCATGGTTCAATTGGAAGAAAAATCAGCAGAGAAGAAGAACATACGAATATGGATTGTATTGTCTGTGTGTACATGTAAATAAAACAAATATATACATATAGCCTAATCCTTGCAATGTTTCTGAACTTTTTAAACCTCCAATCCATGTCCCACATCCATGTCCATGGAACATAGGTTAATACTGGAACAGTAACAGAACAGTATGCATATAATAAAACTCACAACTTGAGAGAATAATATGAACAGGGATGTCTGAGAAAATCAAATTAGAAATTAATCAAGGGAGAATGAGAGAGAGAGAGAGATATACTGTTGACAGCAAGCCATTCATTTGCATCCTCTCCAGGAGGAAGTCTTACTGCTTCTCTCAAGTTTCCACTACCTAAAGTAGCATCAATGTGCTTTCTCAATTGTGCACCCTGCATTTGAAATGATAAATAGAAGATAATAGATACACGAGTAATTTAGTCGGTCTTTCGAGATGGAAATGAGAAACTTAAGAGCTATAGTTTACAGCTAGCCAATATTTCTAGTATCGAAGGAAAATTTTGTCAGCCAATGTTTAAAGGAAGCCTCAGATGTAGCACTCATGACACTTTTGTTTGTAATCGAAAAGGCCAGACCTCGAGAAATGGAAAGATACCTCCCAAGACAGTAACTCAGTCATTGCCAGTGGGGAAACAATTTGACAAAAACTAAAGATCATCATTTTCATGTCAAAAGAAGGTAAGCAATCAGCAAATAATCACTGATTGCTATTATTTTATTCTTTAATCTTTTTGAGCCTCTAGTTACAAACATCTCTAAAAGATATGCTTTGTGTCCTGCCATTGCAGTATCTCGTGTCGCATCACATGTATCTTGTGTCGCATCACATGCATGACCTGGATGATCTTCCTTCATGCATAGTGACAAATTTCTCCATGTCTGTACTGCTATGTAAATGTCAACAGATTTTTATTATTTACTTTTTTTGAAGAAATAACTGATCACATATTTTTCCATTGCCTTTTTTTTTTTTGATAAGTAAAAAATATATTATATTTTTCCATTGCCTTATTTATCTATTTGTATGTTTGTGAAATTGTTGGTTTGAATTTACTATTAGTCTATTATTTATTGGTATTTTCAGAACTAATTAATGAAAGACTGTTGAGTTGATACCAAAGGCAGCCGTACACCATTTTGAATTGCCCATTAATTACATAATTTATTCATGTGTCTTCGAAAGCTTTCAATTTCCATTGGTGCAGGGATTGCCCTCTAGCTTGCTCTTCTCTGAGACTCTTCAGGATTGTGACAGACATGCAGGCCTTGATCATCGACTACTACCGTCTTGATAACAGAGGGGCAACATGGGATGTACAGTTTGTGAGGCACTTCCAGGATTGGGAGATGGAGGAAATCTTTGATCTTCTGTCAGTGCTTTACCACCAGACAGTGGAGGAGGGTGGAGGGTACGGGGTCTGATGAGTGGATTTGGGTACCCTCTTCTCAGGGTAGATTTGGGGTGGGATCCTTCTATTCGAGAATGGTGAATGACCAGGCTCTTCCCTTCCCATGAAAGGCCTTGTGGAGCATGAAGGCACCCCTGAAGGTGGCTTTTTTTGCTTGGACAGTTGCTTTGGGCCAGATTCTTATGTTGGACAACCTGAGGAGGAGAAGGCAAATTCTAGTGAATGGGTGCATCATGTGTAGAAGGATAAGGAGACGGTGGACATCTCCTTTGTCATTGCCCGGTAACTTGAGATTGTTAGGCTATGCTCCTAGGTATTCTCAGGGTTCAGTGGGTTATGAATGCCTCTTTCGGCAAGGAGTGCTCTTTTGAGGCTTGCAGAGGTTGCTGAGTGGGAGTTCAGGACAAAGATGGTTGGAGAGTTCTGCCTTTGCATTTATGGTGGTACCTTTGGAGAGATGAAATAGGAGATCCTTTGAGGAACATGAAACTCCTATTGGTGTGCTTATGTTCTCTATCCTTCACACTTTATTTTTTGGGCTTTGGGGAGAAATTGTAAATCTATAGGGGTGTTAGTGCATTTTGCGAAAATTTTGAGTGTTTAGGGGACCTATCATGTGTGGATGCGTTCCCCCCTCTTGAGGGGTATTTAAAATTTCCATTTTTTCTTTTGTCCATTTCATCTGGAATTATTAGAGTAAAAGAATCACAAAAAACCTCCATCAATGCACATTTCAAGAGTATATTAATTTTTTTCTTATTTTGCATAATCACATTCGGAAGAATCAAAAAACAATTCCAAAATAATTTTTTGCTTATTTTAAATTGATTTGTGATTCTTATACCCTAAATTTGGTATTTTGTGATTCCTCCCATAAAAGGATAATACTGAATAGAATAGCATATCATAAGATGATAAAAGGACCTTCTAGCAAAATAATCTTAAAAATCCAAATATACAAAGTAGAAACCCTAGTTAGTAAATTCACGAATGATACGCGAATTATTTGCGTCTTTGGAAAATACTCAACTCAAAAATACAAGCATTTGTGGGTTCAATGCGAAAATTGTTATGGATTAAATTATAAGAAATTTTTGAAGTCAAAAATGAATATTTGTGAACAATGTGGATATCATTTGAAAATGATTAGTTCAGATAGAATCGAACTTTCGATTGATCCGGGCACTTGGGATCCTCTAGATGGCGTTTGTCGTTCAGGTATAAAAGATACGGGAAAATACTCAACCCGAATGAAATGATTTTATAGGTTTGGATAAGTCTAGGTCACCATTTAATTCGTATTTTTTTTTATTTTTTTTATTTCCTTATATCTGAACCGTTTTTCTTTCCCTGTGCACTTCTAATTATTCTCACTCTATTTTTTTTTCTGCCAAGTCCGATGTCTTTATCACTCCAAGGCATAGTATTAAATCAATTAACGAAATATATACACACACGCGCGAACTTTGGAGAATTATATAGATTCTTATAAATTTTTGTAGATATATACAAATCTTTATTTTTTTATTTTTTAGATCTTTTAAATTTTGTTTGTAACCGTAAATATTTAGATATATTTGTTTTATTTTATTTTTGGAAGTTTATAGAATTTTGAGTGATACTATAAAGATAGTTCCATAAATAACAGACCCTAACATTTGGAAGATAAAAACGAGTCCGTAACAAAGATGAGAAAAAGAGAGTAATTTTTTATCTGAATAAGAATTTGTTAATTAATTTTGTGTTGAATTGATGATGTCATGGTTATTTATCAATTATATTATTTTGGAAATTTATTTTATGATTTGTAACATTTTTTTATTTATTTTATTATTTGATACATTTTCTTTTAATGTCGTTACAAAGATATGACATATAAACTATAAATAAGATGTGTATAACCGTATTTTTAGTCCCGAATTTTTATTTCATACAACGTATTACACATCTATGTATTCGTATTTTTACGTTTCCATTTGTTTTGACAAATTTTTGTAACTTTTTTTTTCTTTTTAAAAAAATGAATTATACCTTAAGTTCCCAAATCCGTTTTTTACCGTACCGTATTTTACTAAAAATGGTAAAAACAAATTCTTGTTCAACCATTTAATTTTTAAAAATGAGGTATCTGTTCCCCTCAACAAATACTTCAGACTCCAGACTTGAACACATTCCACCAAAATATGTTGTATGTCAGTGTTTGAGGTTAATGACGCTCCAAACCTTTGAACTTCATAATTGTATCACTTTTGAGCTCGAACACCCCAGCTGCTTTCACCATTCTCCCACCTGTCGCTGTTAATTTTTCATATGTGAATTTATGTTTCTGACTTCCTTTAACCAAGATTTATTAGATAGGAGTAACCAGTTCTCTAGAATAAGGATTAAGGTTTTGTAACAAAGAGAAGCCTGTGATCATAGTCCTAACACACCTTAGTTAATAGGGGCTAATGTTTAAAAATATGGAACGCAATAAAAGAAGGCTATAAATTTTATGAGTGTTTGGCCAAGAAAATTTTCCATCATTGGTGATCACAATATTGAAGGAGAAGAGCTGCAAACAAGAAGTAATTTTCCTCAACCTTTTCTCACTTCAATTTAAATCTCCATCTGAAGCTAAGCTTCGTATTCTATCATTTCTATCGTTAAATGCCTTTATGGTAATTCATCTAAGCAAACCACTTTATACTAATCATTCAATTGACTACCTTGTTTACTAATTACTAAGTATGCTCAACCTTATAGCTGTATAGCACAATTCTAAAAATTGAAGTTCTATTGTTTTCTCAACTCCTATTTTATATCACTTATTAGAATATAGAAGTAAAGTTAGTGGTGAAACAGTTAGCTGGTGAAGCCAATTCTTATTCCATGCAAGAGTATGAAGACTAAATTCTGACCCTCCCAGTCAAAACCAATATTATTTGTTAGAACTCCTCTATAAGTTTTCAAGTAAGATGAGATTACAGTTTGTTCAGTTTCATAGAGTATGAATCAACTCTACATGGCTTCATCCTTATTGTTGCCTTTTGATGAATCTTTTACTTATCAAACAGAAAAAACTAATACTATTGCCTAGCAAAAACAAAAATATTACCATTACGAATCTCAAGCCTGACATATGGTTATGAATATGTATATTTCAAACATGTTATTAACAGAATGCTAGAGACTATTCTCATTACCACATTAAACAACTACAAAGAAGAAAGATTCTCTGGTTAGACATAGAGAACAACCTTACTCCCTGATGGTGCACTTTTCTTTGGGCGAAATGTCTTCTGGTTCCTGCTTGCAAATAAACAGATTAAGGCATAATTGAGCAACATAAATAGTCAAGGAAAAAAATTGTGTAGTATTAACAGTAAACTGTGACACCAAAAAGTTAAGCAAAATCTGATACAAAGACCTGCAGACTACTCCCCAACTCCAAAGCTCTTGCGCACGCACACAGCTATGTAGAAACATTTGGACATGTAATGTATAATAAAGCTTCTTAAGCCTCACTAACTTCTATAACAACTAACAGAATCCAACTCCCAATTTTTTCTTTCACATCCCACCAAATCGTATACCTTTCTCAATCTCTTTTGCGCAGCACGGGGGCAGCAAACAAAGATAAGAAAGTAAATCACCTTAAATCTACTTCATTCCTCCAAGATTATGCTTTTATGACATGAATCTTCCACATTTACCACTACTCTATTAAAGTCAGCCATTTTTGCTACACATATTGTTTTAGCAGTTTAAATCCACCTCCTTCTACAAAATTATATCTACGGACTTTTCCACTATTCTATTGATAAATTCAGCCAATTTGCTATACAAAATTGATTTAGCAAATCCACTTTCTTCTACAAAATTATATTATATATACAGTAAGGAGACTTTTCTTTTGCTAGATTTCACCATTCATTTTAGAGAATACTGGATTAATAGTATTCAAGTATGCACAACGGGGAAACAACCCATTGAAATATATGTGAGTCTCTAAGAAATGTAGAACTATTAACACGTGTCCTGTTTACTACATTCATAATAGAAAATACTCCTGTTTAAGGAATTTTTCTAAGGTAGACATCATTTCTGCACCAAAAATGATGATGCCAATTGCCCTGAAATCAATGTGTCAGAAACCAACCAACATTATTCTTTTTATTAAAATATATAAGGAATATGACAAATTATAGAAATTATAGAAAGCGAACTAACTGCACATATTAAAGACTGACTAAATAGTATTCATCCCCTCACCACCAAAAGTTGTAGCCCACTGGTATCTCCTCGACTTCTAAAAGTGAAATGTTGAGAGTTCAAGTACCCATGCGAACAAAATGGGTGAGAGTGTTATTTGTAAGGACAAAAAAATATTGGTCCCTTCTTTTTTCCTTTTTACAAACATCCAATCAATCCATCTGTATTTAACAGTTCCGGGGCCACAAATCACAATTCAAGGACCTCATTGTGCTTAACATTTGAACCACTAACGGTCATGTAGGATAAAAAGGAAATTCATTTGACCAATCATCATAATCATAAGAGATGATGATGATTTGAGCCACTAACAGTCACCTTTTACACCAAAATAGTAACAGATATATGTAAAATCATGCAACTTTATATTAAAAATGTGTCTGATAATGCAATTATATGAGATTTTAGCTAAAAATATATATAACCCAGTACAAATTAAGCCAAATACATCTCAAATTACTAATCAGAAATCAAAATAATGATAACAATTGTCCAAAACAACAGATCTGATAGAAATTGTCATCAACGAATCAATAATTACAAGACTAATTGAAAGACATGGAATACCTGCCCAGGCCGAAGAGACTCATGGCTAGAGATAGAATAGGGAGAGAACCTGGCCCTTGATCGTTTTTTAGAGAGAGAGGGAGGGGGGGGAGAGAGAATTTGGGTTGAAAAGCGGCAGCAAACGGAGCGGGCAGCGGAGTCGGGCTGCCCGGAACCGGTATCTATTCTTGGGCAGCTTTTAATTAGTGGACGCGTCGAAAAAAAAGCTGTCGTTCGATACCCGAAAGGTGAAAATACTAAAATGACGTGTTGGTCAGCGTTTACAGGACAGTGGCCTACTAAAACAGGAGGAGCATCAGCAGCTTTCTTTAAGTTGAATTACGTATACGGTATCTCATTGAACAACTCTATTTACATTTTCAGACTCGAGTACAATGGAAGTACAAATGTAACTATTTTTAGTACATAATTTGGCTTCCATTTATAAAAGGAAAACACTACTTCATTTGTTGTTCATAAATTATTTTTAAAAATTACAAGAGGCAATTATATTTTTAAATATAAGATTTATATTCACCAATAAATAAGCAAGTATTATCCTTTTATATTTATATTTTAAAAAAATATAGCATATGTTGAATGTATAACAAGGAAAAATTTAAAAATATCCTACTTAGTTATGCATATTTTGAAATATGTTAACTTTTTAAAATTATTAGGTTTGACTGTTAATTTTATCAAACTAATTACAAAAGTATATAAAAATATTATTTACACTCTTTAATGATCCTAAATGTTCTTGTCTCTTGCAAAAAGTCCGGCGTACTTCATAGTTCATAAATTCCATTATTCCTAGCAACGAGCTCCTTGATCAGTTTTGAGATTATTCAATGATCATCATTTCGACAAGCTTTAGAACAAGGCCATTCAAAGTCTTCAACTCCTTTCTTACCTCCTTCCCTTTCAATAAAATCAAAAAAATTAACTATAACCCTTTTGGCTTATTCTTTCTTTTTTCTCTCTCAAACCTATTTTCTCTCACTAATTTTCCTGACCAAAACCTCCGTGTATCACTAAAGATTGTTTCCTTCTAAGTTCAAAAGCTCTTTTTAATTTTTGTGTTTAAATTTGATATGGGTTTTTCAAAAAAGCATTGACCAAATGGAAGCCTAGAATCCAAAGGCAAGAAATGGGTAATTGCTAATATTGCGATTTTCTTTTTTTCTTTTTTTTTTTTTGTCTTTGAATTTCTCTATTTTAGTTGTTTAGACTTATATTAGATGAGTACAATATATACATATTTATATAATGGGTATTCTAGTTTAGTTCAAGATATTTGCTTAATGGGGTTTTATTATTATTTTTTATTTCTTACATTTTGTTTGTTGGACCTCGTCATCGGAAATAATAAAGTTTATGAACTTAATACCAAGCCAGACTTTTCGGAAGAGATAAGGGCGTTTAGGACCATTAAAGAGTCTAAATAGTAATTTTGTACACTTTTTACAATTAATTTGATAAAAATAAATTTAAAAAATTAGCATATTTGAAAATATGCATAATTAAGTAGAGTATTTTTAAATTTTTCCTATTAAAATTTCAAAAATATTACCCATCACTCCCCATCATTACTTAATGGTATAAATCTTTTTTTAAGTATGTCTATCTAATAATATTATCTCGAAGTTGAAACTTATGCACCATATTTTAGAAGGTACAAAAATCAAATAACTTACTTATTTGAGCTAATCATCATCTTGATATTAAGAACATTTCATTTTATTTTCTTACCAAATGTTGGAACAAAAGTCGAACCCTTTTCATGCATTAATTAAATGAATTCGATAATTAAAAAAGAAAAGAAAAAAGAAGAAGACATATATTGGGTTGTTCTGTTGTATGCACACAAAATTCATCTCAAACTTAAAATGATTCAGCATTGCACCATTTATTTAAGGAGGGCAAAAAACAGGAAAAATATTACTGTACTCTGCAGTAATCTTTTTTTTTAATCAAAAAATTATAATCGAGAGGGGAAAAATATAAATTTATTATTATATAACTTTTAGTTGAAGAGGTAAATACAGTAATACACTGGTTATAAATCACAGGTAATGTAATCCAAAAATGAAATGGAGAAAAGGAAGTGAATAGATGATTTCATGGTACCAATTTCACCTCCTTCCATGATAGTTTTCGACATAGTTTTTTTTTTTTGACATTAAACGGTCCCATTATTACTCTTAATTCTAAAATATTAATATATCTTGCTCAATTTTGTGACTAAATAAATTATTAAGCTAATTAATAATTAAATTCATATCAATTACAAAATAAACAATAAAGTAAAGTAAGTAAAAGAAAGAACATATAAGGTTTTTTGTGTGAAAAATTTCACTAAGAAAAAATCACGATTTTAAAATTTACGATAAATAATGCATTATATCAAAGTATTTACATCGACCTTAACCTTGCCTGATGCCTAAACCACCGTACCAACACCTAGTTGCTTATTTTTTTTCTTTTAAATCCACAACCTTTATAAATAAAGTAAAAGTTTTATCTGAATTTTATAAAATATGGAATATAAGATTTCACTTCTGCATTGTAGGAACACTAAACTCTTGTTCCTATAGGATACGAGGAGGATGGAGATTGTTTTTTATTTTGAACTTGAGACCTTCCAATCATACAAGAGTAACTTTATTATTATAAGAGTTAAGTGCAGAAACACCTTAAAATATGTTTATAGTGCATATAACATCATTCACGTACAAAAAAACACCTCTAAGGTTTCAATTTGGTGCAAATAGGTTCATTTGACAAATTTAAACCCTAAATTGATTAAATTACTATTACTGAGTCATTTTATAAAAATATATAAATATAAATAATTTTGTAAAATGACAAAAAAAAAAAAGACACTATTGAAGAATGTCCCTCTCATGCAAAAAATACCTTTAAAGTTTCAATTTGGTGCAAATATATCTCTTTGACAAATTTAAACCTTAAGTTGACTAAATTACCCTTACTGAACCATTTTATAAAATATATAAAAATAAATAATTTTATAAAATGATAAAAAAAAAATAACACTATTGAAGGACGCCGACAATGGACAAGTAAAAATAAAAATATAAAATAAAAAAAAGTATAAAAAAAAAAGTAAAGATAGAATTATAAAATATAAATAAAAAATAAAGTGCAAACTAAAGAAAATAAAATTTTTCCAAACTCCGAAAACCAGTGCACACTAATATTGGGAATTTTTATTTTTATTTATTTATTTTTTTTTTAACAATGTTGGTACCAATAAATAAATAAATAAATAAAAATTTAGTAGAAAAGAGTAAACTGGAATCTCAAAAAATTCAAATCCCTATTCTACAAATTCTCAAAATAAAAAAAAAAAATAATAAAATGTTTAGAGATATATATAGAGAAAAATGTTTCAAAAAATAAAAATATATAAGGTAATATGCACATAATACTCCAATGCTATAAGATTAATAGCATATACACTCTCTTGGGTATTTTCGAAAAAGTAAAAGGGCAAAACATGTATTACAACACTAATTTATGGCTGATGGGGTATTTTTGCACAATGTGAAAAGATTACGGGTATTTGTTACATACTTTTTAAAATAGAGATAGAAGTGCAACGCAAAGTATATTTTAGGGACTAGGATCCTCTTCCATGCTAGAGAGGTCCAGCATAATATCCAATTGTTGAGATTGCATCATCACTAGTGGGTCCTATTTATTAATTCAATCTTAACCACTGGATCCTGTACTAGACCTCTCCTGGAGAGGATCCTTGTTCATATTTTAAAGGTATTTTCTACACTTGTTGTAAGAAATTAATGATCAAAATTTTACAAATGTGTTTCGTCACTGTTGTTGCATGTGTTAATTCGAAAAATGCATGAGGATAAATTTGTCCATTTCTTTTTTCTTCTTTTCTTTCTTTTTTGTTGGAGTGGCCCGTACAAGAAGTAAAGCATCAAAAGAAGGAATAAACATCGAGTTGAAGATTTGATCCTATCAAATTAGCATCGGCTTGATAGCCCAATAAAAGCAGCTGTATATCTGTGACAATTAATTAAAACCTGATTTATTGCCTTTGAAGACAATAACCAAACTATTTATTGCCCTCGGCTAAAGTCTTAGTAATGTCATCACAGACATTTTGATTAGCCTCTCAAGTCAACATCCCAATGTACACAAACCATGGTTAGCTGTACTATTAGATACTTTATTTTTTTTTCAAGTTTAATATGTGATTTATATTGGTCAATTTATACTAATTTTATTTGAGTCTATTACACCGTGATCGCGATCGATACTATGATCGTGATCGATATTGCGAACCATGACACAAACTTAAAGATATATTTTTCTCTATTTGACTCAGATTGCATAGTAGCTATAGGAATTATTTATTTATTTATTTTGCTAATTCTCATGTCATGCACAATGTAAATTCTTTCGTAACCTAGTGGTTGAGTTGCTTTTCGTTATTCTTGAAAGTTTGACTTTGAACCTTCGCACCTCTAATTTTTAATCCAACATTCTTGTCTGAAAAGAAAAAAAAAAAAAAAAAAAATTTGTCATATAAAATGGAGAAACATGTACTTGCAATATAGTGTGAAGTGTTCTAAGAATCGATACTCCATTTCAAAAGAAAAAAAAAAAAAAAATTATACAAATTAAAGAATTATGAAATTGACTCCTTTATGTTTCTCTTCATTTGCTTCTAAAATCAACCGACTAAAAGTAGAAAAAAAGAAAAAGAGAATAATGTAATATCTAATTAGCTTACACTTCAATCTAACTTTGTTTATCTGAATGAAAACTTTGTGGTCATTTAATTGTTTGTTGTAATAAAAACGATTCATTATTATTTCGCTTATTCATTATTATTATTTAATTAGCTTACACTTCATTCATTATTATTTCGCTCACAACCAACCAACCAAACATCCAGAGAGTTATACACTTCTATATACTTCTGTGTCACGGGGAATATGAACAAGAGCAATATCCATAGGAATGTGACGTTGAGAAAGTTTTACTAGAGCGTGAGCGACTTTATTGTCATTTCTATAGGCATGGCTAAGGCGAGAAAAAAAAAATCTCCGAAACGCTACTTGAATATCACATACAACGGAATGAATTTCAGTAACCCCGAAGCAACACCCGACACAGTCTGAACCATAATAAAAGAATCACATTTAAACCAAACCTGTTAAACTGAAGATGAAATGACAATCATAGAATCACTTCTATATACTTTACTTTGCCCAGAAGCTTTGTGATAAATTTAATTGGAATAATAAATTTTCATAAGTTTGATTAAAAAAAAAAAAAAAAGTTTCCTTCTCCAAAAACAAAACATAATTATTCTAAGATAAAATTCTGTAGACAATAAATACTATAGATAAATAAAAAGAATTTTCCTTATCCAAAAACACAATTATTAAGATTCATTCCTAAGCTAATACCATAACTAAGCTCCAAGATTTCAATGTTTTTGCTGTGCTCCATATCCCCATCACCAAGCATGGCCAAACCCTACATCTGTCCCCCCCAAGGTAACAGCCAAACTCTCTCTCTCTCTATATCTCTTTCTCTCTCTAACTCGGTTTATTATATCTGTGACTGACTTCACATTTTCTCTTTATGGCAGCTTTTTCTTGAAAAGCTAAATCACTGTTTGGAGGCCCTAACTGAGCATCCAAGAAGAAAACGAAGGCTCTGTGACATGAGTGCCGCGTCGTCGTCGCTGGCGGCAGCCGGGGCGGAGTCCCGGCCGCCGTTCACGGCGGCGCAGTGGAAGGAGCTGGAGCATCAGGCCCTCATATACAAGTACTTGATGGCGGGACTGCCTGTGCCGCCTGACCTCGTCGTCCCGATTCGGAGGAGCTTTGACTCCATCTCACCTAGGTTCTTACACCACCCAAGCTGTAAGAAACACTAACCTCCCCCCTCTCTCTCGAAGTGAAAATGATGTATTAATCTTATCTTTTTCATGCTTGAGCTTTTCATCTTCATTTGATTTGATTTTAGGAATTTGTTTGTTTAATTTTCTTCATTTTTGGAATCTCTAACAGTTTCAAGATTTGTTCTTTGTGACCCATTATGTTGATTTTGTGAGAGTCGTATAACATTTTGAAATTTATATAAGTTGAGCACGAAGTATTTGGGAAATTTACTCGTGTGTTTGAAGAGAAGCCATTGGATTTAACACTGCATTCAAATTGATCATTTTTGTGGGTAATAATATATGAAATGCGTTTTTCTTCGATGCACCTGTAGGATCATTGTAGGAATTCACGAAATAATGTTATTTCAGTTCCTTTTAGTAATGTGTATTTGTCGATGGATTCGGTTAATATAATGGCTTCATTCTGGCTACTGACTATGGGCCTATAAGAGATATGTCTAACATAACTATATGGATGTAAACAACTTTCATGGGATGTTCAATCAAGCATTATCATAACTAAACTCAGATCCGTATTATTGTAGGAGAAAATGGCTGGGAGCATTGATTAATTTAATATAATCCGAATTTTTGATAGTATATCTCATTAAAGTCACTTGGTGTTGAAAAGTCAAAAATATATTTAACACGTGCAAACTGTGTAGTAGTTTGAATTGGAGACCATATAACTAGTTTCCATATTTTTTGGTTAGTTCTTTCTGCAAACTCTTACATGGGTTGTTTCGGTACTCGAAGAAATTATTAAAGATGATGTTGGCAGCAACTGTTTATGCCATTTGGTACGCAATAAATGACATATATGTACAAATGATTGTAAGGATATTATTTCATTGCCAAAGGAAATCAATGGTATAGTTAGACATAGATTTTGCTTATTCTTTAAGGTGCCTTTTGCTCAGAAGAATCAGTATTTACAGCACTAATGGGGTATTGCACAATCCATATTTCTGTCCTATTTACTAAGCTCTTCAAGACGATCAATCAGCTGGTCTTGTCTGTTCAATACTTGTATATAGAGGGGTACGCCAACGGCGATTCCTGTACATCAAATTTGTTTCTACTATACTTACCTTACCAAAAAAAGGGGAAATAATTTCAAGAAATTATTATTTTATATGGTATGAGGGCAGGTTGGTTGAACCTTATTTTGGTCCTTTTCAAGGCTTCCAGGTTTCCAGCGGGCTGGCATTGGCCGCATGTCCGGTGTAAATGTTGATAATTTTCTTCTTCCTTTCGCTCTTTCTAGTTCCTGAACATTGTCAATTTGTCTTATCTTTTTATCTTATTCAAATTAAATTGATCAGCTCCATATTATCAAAACCACAGGATTGCTTCTTCCACAAAAATTGATAATATTGTTGATTTTGTCATTATTTTTTACTTGTAGACCTTGAATACAATATTTTGCGGTTCAGTTGCCCAAGTAAAAATTAGGAACAAATTGCTTGGAGCTCAAGCTTATTATGCCTATTGAGGCAACATCTTGACCCCAAAAGTCAATCACCCGTTCTTTTTAGCCTTTTAGGGGCTCTTTTGTGTTCTGGGCCATCTGGCTTTCTGATCCTGACCGACCACCAATGGCATAATCAAGTTACAGAGGCAACTCCAAACTAGAAGGAACTTTGATAAGGAGTAAAGCAGCCGGCTTCAAATTGATGATATTTTCAATTTGAAATCTCATTGAATTTGAGGGGGTATGGCAGAATGGGGTTGGGGTTCATTGATTGATCTGAGATACGCCAAATCATCACGTCACTCTTGGATTTGAGCCTTAGAGGAGTGAATGATTTGATTATATTGTACACGTCAGAAATGCTTAATAATTTGGGTAGGAAACTATATTATCCATTTCCAATCTTTCCTAGTTGGTTTTTCATGCAAACATACATTCTTAAAAGGGTCTTTGCGTTAGTCCAAGCAACTACCAATAGAACCTTCATTCTACATTTTATAGGTTAAGTTCATAGTTTCAAGTGCAATACTGTGGGACTAGGTATGTACTGTTTTCTTCAGAGACTTTTTTTTTTTTTTTTTTTATAAATATTTTGTCCTATTATTAATTTATTAGTCTATATCACTATATATTGTTGAATATCTCAATTTCTAAAAAATTTCGTTATTGATAAAATATACATTAACTTGGAAAGGTGTGTAAAACTTTATCCTTCATGTGTAGTGGCCTACAGTTCCTATTATGGGAAGAAATTCGACCCAGAGCCGGGTAGGTGCAGGAGGACGGATGGAAAGAAGTGGAGGTGCTCCAAAGCTGCATATCCGGACTCCAAATACTGTGAGCGGCACATGAATCGAGGCCGCAACCGTTCAAGAAAGCCTGTGGAATCTCAATCTACCTCTCATTCCTCGTCAGCTGTGATATCACATGTTACTACTGGGAACAGTGGTGGCTGTGGAAGCTTCCAAAACTTTCCATTGCACTCTGTTATTAATGCTGCTGAGGGTCCGTTATATGGTAGCAATGTGTCAACTTTGCAGATGGAGCTTGCCCCTCATGGGATCAGTGATAAAGAGTACAGGTAGGTACCTCATTTCTTTCTCCTGTGACCTTATTCGCTTTCGCGAACAGGTGTGTGTATCCTCATAATTTGGTTTTTATTAGGCATATATTGGCGTCCTGAAGTTTTTTCTCTGTGACTAAGTTAGAATATTTATGTGGGACAAAGAGGATTGCCTTCGTTTTTTGTTTTTGCTAATAGTGATGACTTCTTCATTTTCAGAGGCATTTATCTATGACAAAGTAATTTAATCTGAATATAGTTTAAAACATAAGTTTTATATATCAATTTGTTCTTTGCTTGCAAATAGTCTGTGACCCTTGCTATTAGGAAAATTGACAACTTGAAGAAACTGTTTGTGTGCTGCAGTAAAGCATGCGCTTAGGCTTCTGGTTCCATAACATTATAGAGCTTCTGACTTCCTGCATGTAAACTGATAGAACATTATATACGAAGTCAGTATCAATTATTTGCTGTAGTAGTTTGCACAGCTGTGCTATATATGAATTTCAATTCCTAGCTTATTTTCTCTTTATAACTCATTTTTGCATAGTTGATTTATACATTTCTCTGGTCATTTATGCCCATGTTAGGTAATGTTGTGTGGTTAACGCAAGAGGTGAATATAAGTGTGAGCTACCCATCTTATGTGGTGGAAATGGAGTGGAATGTTGGGCATTAAAAAAAGAGACACGAACAATGCATCCATGTGGTGGAAATGCAGATGTTAAGATGGATATTATGAATTAGGAAAGATAAGATTAATAATCAAAGGATTAGGGAGAAATTAGATGTGGTGCCTATTAGCGAGAAAATAAAAGAGATTGGTATGAACATATTAAACGATAACCTATAGATGCTCCCGTGAGGAGAGGAAAATTTATTTGCATAGAAGGTAAAAGACAAAGAGGTCGACCAAAACTAACATGGAATGAAGTGATGAGAAATAATTTAAAAAAATTAAATCTAGTAGGAGATATAGCTTATGATAGAAATGAGTGGAAAAAGAAAATTAAATGTACCCTATTTGTACGGGAAACAGGCAAGGATGAGAATGCATGTGGCCTACCCCATTTGTACAGGATAGAGGCAAGGATGATGACGATGATGACCCATCTTAGGTGAGTTCATTAGCACCAAACAACACGTTTGGGCTGTCACTTATATTTTTGAGAAATGGATATGATTCTGTGATGTTGATATACTCTGCAGTTAAGCTCATTACTACATTAACATGATAAGACACCAGTTGAGTATGAAGAGAAGTCCATATGCTGGAAACTCTTATGTCAAATAGGAGAAGAATAGGGTGGTGGTGGAGGAGGAGAAGCGATGCTTATGTCACAATTCTATTTTTTCTAGAATGTAGCATCGGGTGTTTGTGCTTCTAGGCATGCTAAACTTGCTTGGAGTTCCATGCTGTTGTGCCCAATGTGTTATGCTTAGGAGCAGAGGACTAGGTGCAATTTGTGAAATTTCTCATGATCATCTGTTGACTGTTACCCATAAAATTAGTGGCCCCCCCCAGTGGGGATACATATGTCTTTTAGAATTTCAGTGAAGATAAATAGTCGTACAAATTCTATGGATAGTATCCACTTAACGTCTCTTAGTTAATTCTTCTAGGATATATATTTTTCCAATCAATCCTGCAATTCCTCTCATGCTTGTGATGTACACCAAAACTAAAATTAATTGGAAATTTAGAGAAGCTTAGTGAACATTATGCCTATATATTGATATTTTGCATGTGCAAATTGTCCTCTCAAGAATGAGGAGACTTAAGTTGGTTCTTCTTCCTCCTAATTTGAAAATATTTGCACTTGTAAAGAACAAAGTCCTTTCCTCGTGTTTACACCACTAAATAACACTTATTTGTCAGCCAAAGAGAATCATTGGACATACGACTTGGAGCTTTGATAGAATATATTTGAAATTTGGGGTGGCTGATATGATAATCAATTCAGCTTATGTGACTATGTGACCAGCTTTGATAGAATATATTTGAAATTTGGGGTGGCTGATATGATAATCAATTCAGCTTATGTGACTATGTGACCTGCGTAGGAGTAGCTTCATTTTGGCGTGATTTTAGAATTCATAATAGTGACAATTAAAAGAGAGTTAAAATGCACACACGTTGCCTAATCCGAAAGAACCTATTTAGCAGTTTCAACTGTCAAAAAAGGTGGATTGAAGGAAGGTGACATAATTGAACCTCAAGAGGGGAGTCATCCTTCCCCTTAATAGTTGCCTGATCTTCTTGGCTTTTCACAGCTGTAAAAATAAGAATTGGATCTGATTTCATTGAGTTGTCAGCGACTGTGGCATGCCTGCGTTCATGACCAGAAAAAAGGATTACGTAGCAAAACATCATGGTCGTCAGTCATCCACTGGAATGCAGATTCCAGAGGAGATGAGAAGATAAGAATGTAGCATTCTGGTTCATGACTTCGTAGCACTAGTAAAAGAAGCAGACTTGTAGAAATCTATAAGCATCACTCCAAAAAAATAATAATAATAATAGAAGGCAAAATTGGAAGCGAGATTAAATTCTTTTCAAGTATTAAAGAGCCTCGAGATTTACTTTTGCTGAGTGATTGAGCTGTTAGTTATAATGGAAGTTAATTCATTTCTGGTTCCTCGCAGCTATAACATTTTTTCAGCATCTGGCTGCACGCAGAGATTTTTTTGCTGTTGATCTCTTGCTTTCCTTCTGGTGCATCTTGCAGCTAGCCTTCTACAGAGAATCATGGATCCCTTCCTTTTCTCAAGCGTCTCTGCTCCTCCTCCACAAATGGATCCCACGTCAGCTTTTAGCATAGAACACTCCCTCAAACTATTTTTTGGTTTTTGGCTGTCAGTTGTCTTGGGATTTTGTTAGGTTTTCCTTCATCGAGTGACCCCATCTCAAATCTCGGCCTTCAGTTAGGGACCTTTCTCATCTAAGAAAATCCTTTCTGCCTTCTCACTGATACTGTTTTTTGTTGTTGCTGCTATTTGCATATTTAGCCAAACAACAGTAGCATTTTACAAGTTTGAATCAGACCTTTTGTTATTTTACGTAAAATAGCTGCTCTTTTGTTGGAGTTCTTCTTCTCTTTGTATAGCTCTAGTAGTCTATTTTTTTCTAGGCTTCTTTTCCTACTTTATTTCATTAAATGCGAAGTAGGTATGCTTCTGTCTTCCTGGGATATGCTCCTTGTAGTTTGTATCTTTTGTGTTCTTCTCAATAAGTTCTCACTTACCAGGGGGAAAAAAAACATAGAATCGATGTAAGCAGAGAAAAGTGAGGGGTTAGTAGAAGAATAGTTATGCAGAAATTCTAAATCTTGATGCTTGTTTAATACTCTGCTGTGGTTTGCACTAATGTACTCAGTAGCATTGTTATTATCAATCTAACTGCTGCCAGATCAGGGATTATGACATATACTTAGGAAATTCTATTTAAACTCGCCGTCAAGGGCATTTCTGCAACCAAAATTGTAGTCTTCAGAGGTTGATCTCTTAAGTGATTTTTAGTGCAAGGTTGACAACTCAGATGAGTTTTGGTACATGTCATTCATCATTTTTGGAAAGACTTGTAATGCTAACGAGTAGTTGAAAGTCAGCTTTCCCGATTTTTTGCCAAGCCCGTACCGTCAAGCATACTTTTCCAAGAACTGTCCCTGAAAAAGGTTATTTTCTTAAGGAACCCCGTAAAAACAAAAAATTTGAATTGTTAACATGCTGTCATTGACTTCTTTGGCCATTTGGTTTTGGCAAAGAGATAAGAAAGGAGGGGGAGGGGGAGGGAAAGAGGGAAGGGAGGAAGGAATTGGGGGGGGGGGGGGGGATCAAGTTCTTTGGTGTGAATTTCCTCATATATAGTCCATTAATCCATAATGTGAGTAAATTAGTGGTCATTCCACTATCTATCTGTCCAAATCATGTTGCTGTTGAATAACAATTGCAAATAATTGTCTATGCTTTCTTTGCAAAATGTAAATAGCAGGTATGTCCATGGATTGAAAGCAGATGAACATAAGTTTTCTGCAGAAGCTTCTGGAAGTGGGAGGGGTATCAAAGTAGACTTTGATGTAGACAATACGTGGCGTCTCATGCCATCTCAAGTTGGTGTAAACTCCTTTCTGAAACCAAGTTATGGCACTCAATTGCAAAGCGACTCCCTACAATTACGCACACCGCAAAACTTGGAGCCAATGATCAATGCTACATTATCAAAGCAAGGGCAGCAGCAACATTGCTTTTTTGGCAGCAAGCTTGGCTCACCAGGGCCTGTGCAACAGGAGCATCATCCTATGCGACCTTTCTTTGATGAGTGGCCTAATACTGGAGAGTCATGGTCTGGTTTTGATGATCAGAGATCCAATAAGAATGCATTCACCACTCAGCTATCAATCTCTGTTCCAGCAGTTTCCTCTGAATTTTATTCCAGGGGTGCTTGTTCCCCAAAAGGTTAGTCGATATCGAACTAGACACGTCAGCATAATCATAGAAATCGGAAGAGAATCTTAATTCCTAATCCTGTCTTGTGTTGGGTGCAGATACTTGAGGAAGCTGGCTATAGTAGTACTCCTGGCATGTGGTGTTCGTTCTTAATTTATCAACTTCTGTACCTTTTATGTTATCCAACTCTGAACTAACCAGCATGGTTTCTGTTGTTGTAACATTATCTAGCGGCAAAGTAGTTAAGTTGTACGGCAACGATGGCCTAAATTCTCTATCTACACCTTATGTGGTCTTTATTTGAACTTTCCGGAAAATAATGATATTATGCTATGTGATGATTGATGAATTGTACTATAATATCTTCTTTTCCATGCTCTAGTGTGCAATGCAGATGTTTGTCGCTGTAGTGGTTATTGTATCTGAGTGCAGTGCATATGCCTTGTATGGTTCCTGTTCTGGCAAAGTGGATTATAATCTATATATATATATATACACACTAGTATTATTCCCGTAATTCATAAACTTAAATGACTGATAATTATGATAATATCAATAATAATTGGTAAGCTTAAAAGAGCCGTGTAGATTGCATGTCCACTTCCGCCTTCCACTATTCGCGCGCGCACACGTACGTACATACATGTGTGTGTGTGTGTGTGTATAAAATAGGGGTGGACCCATTTATATATAGTCCAATGGAAGAAAGTTGTTTTCCTCTCCAACATGGTACAACAACTTCTTCGTCATTGGTACAGGAGAGGATTCCAATGCAACGATGTACAGAAGTGTTTTTTTTTTGGTTGAGATATTAGCTATTTGGGGGTCTCAATTTTCTTTTATCCAAGATGAGGGACAGTGCCACCGTTACAAGACCATGCTTCTTCCTTTGTGTCGTGCTTCTGTTTCAGCTGTTAACACAAATCATGTTTCTCTATTGGAAGTGATACTCTTGCAATGGGCCAGTCTCTCTCAGTAAGCCAGACCCTGGTGTCCCAAGGTAGCATTTTTGAACTCGGTTTCTTTAGATCAGGTACTCCAACTTCACATAGCATCTATCTTTGCATATGGTACAAAAATATTGTTGCTGAGAACGTAGTTTGGGTAGCTAACAGGGAACAAAATTCATCTGAACCGTCTTCAAGGCTTGAATTCTCTAGAGATGGTAATTTAGTGATAAACTCACCGGCAAAACTCAGGTCCTAACTGCGTGGAAAAATTCAAACAATCCTGCTTCTGGTATGTTTTCATTCGGGATAGATCCAGACGAAAGAAATCAATATTTTATAGAGTGGAACAATTCCAAAAGGTATTGGAGCACTGGAATTTGGAATGGTATTGATATAACAGATGATTATGGAATCTATTACAATTTTACATCGAATGAAAACGAAAGCTACCTTACATACTCTACTTGGTATGCTAATGTGTTTCCAAGATTGGTGATGGATAAGTCAGGACTGTTAATGCGTGTAATATGGACGGATCCGATTTCGCATCTTTTTTGGTTTCAACCCAGCCCTAGTCAGGTCTATGCTTTTTGCAGGAAATATGGCATCTGGAGAGAGAATCTCTTGAGCATTGGCTGCGAATGTTTACAAGGTTTTAAGCCATTTTCAATTGAAGACACAATGCTAAATGATTGGTCTGGGGGTTGTGTGAGAAAGACACCATTGCAGTGCCAAAATGGTACCTACACCAATGGGACGAGTGATGGATTTCTAAGACTTTCGAACATCGCGACATTACCAGAAAATTCAAAAGTACTTCCAGATAGGAGCCTTGAACGGTGTAAATTAGCTTGCATGCGAAATTGTTCTTGCACAGCTTATTGTCACGGGCCTAGAGATTTGGCGCAGCGGCACAGCCCGTGCGGCACCAAGGCGTTGCTTCAGCTCGCGCAAGTGCCGTGGTCAGCCACCACGACCTGCCCTCCCAAGGATACATGTTGACTGGTTTCGGCCTGCCATGGCCTCGTTAGGGGAACGGCTCCAACTCCCGACCAGTTTGTGCAGGGATGGCCAACTCCCTTCTTCATAGTCAAGTCCACGACTAGCGACAAGCACCTCGAATTGAACCGAGTCGACCTGCCTGAACTCTGAAGAGGTACCATCCTGTGGTCCTGCACGCCCCTTCCCTGGAACTATTCCCAGTCAATGAATGTTCTTAACCAACCAGCATGCGTGTGTTCTATGCTCATGGCGTCGTTAGGAATCGGATCGTGACATTCTCCCCCACCCAAATCCTGCGACGCCCTCGTCGCAGTGCAGCGCTGACTCCGCTGCGTCCAACATTCCAAAGTCTCTCTCCTCCAAGTGATATGCTCGCCTGCCCACCATCGCTTCCTTGTACAACCCCTGGCTGCACTCGCCCAATGATAGGGTTTCGGGCTAAAGGGACGCCCACTTCTTCGGGATGCAACCCCACGTTATGCCGCCTCCGCGACACCCCGAGCAAACAAGCGCCCTCCGGCTGACTTGATACCCGCCCTTCACAACGGTTTGCACGCCTCTTGAATTTGCAAGAACTTTGGTGCGCGGCCCTCCAGCCATCTGATGCGCGCGGCCCTCCGGCTTCAAAGGACGCATCTTCATAGGGAGATGGAGGCTCTCCTCTAACAGCATTGATTGCCCACCGACACTTTAGTGCACCCATTTCATTCTCAAGACCCCCGGATCGACGAGGGGGCACACTTCTGTGCTTTTCCCCAAGTCCTGCTCTGATACCATTTGTCACGGGCCTAGAGATTTGGCGTAGCGGCACAGCCCGTGCGGCACCAAGGCGTTGCTTTAGCTCGCGCAAGCGCCCTGGTCAGCCACCACGACCTGCCCTTCCAAGGATACATGCTGACTGGTTTCGGCTTGCCATGGCCTCGTCAGGGGAACGGCTCCAGCTCTCGACCAGTTTGTGCAGGGATGGCCAACTCCCTTCTTCATAGTCAAGTCCACGACTAGCGACAAGCACCTCAAATTGAATCGAGTCGACCTGCCTGAACTCTGAAGAGGTACCATCCCGTGGTCCTGCACGCCCCTTCCCTGGAGCCATTCCCAGTCAATGAATGTTCTTAGCCAACCAGCATGCGTGTCTTCTATGCTCATGGCGTCGTTAGGAATCGGATCGTGACATTATGCTTTTAATAGTGGTGGGTGTTTAACATGGGAAGGGGATTTACTGAATCTACAACAACTCCCAAACGGAAGCAACCCTAAACAAGATTTCTATCTGAAACTAGCTGCTTCTGAGCTTCCAAAACCTACAATTCCGAAAAATAAAAGTAACTTCTACACAACAGTCGATGCATTTCCTGCAACTTACAGATAACAGTTTTTGTTTTGAATTCGTTGTGATTGACCATGATTCTATTTTACCCGTTTTAGGTCGCAGGAAGAACTTGAAGGTGATCATAACAGTGCTGATTTTGCTAGCAGTTGGCTTCATAGGCTGTTTAATCTGGAGAAAGCTCAAGCAAATGGGTATAAGAGGTAGCCACCATAAGTCCATATTCAAAGAAATCATACATGATTGTATTTAAGTCAATTAGGAAATGAAAATATCACTTCTTCCAGGAGCTAGCAACATTATAATTAATTTAATAATATGTACACTTAGAATTGACTTGGACCAAGTATGGACTACAAGTTGTCATTTTCTGAAACTTATATTGTGATTTCCAAATTATTGATAATGGCTTTCTGTTTTGTGATAAACAGAAGAGAGAGATTCAAGCGCAAGAGGGAAAGATTCAAGCGACGATTTACTATTATTTGATTTTAGTACTAGTACAAATGCAGCTGCTGAAACAAACATTGGAAATAACCTAGGGAAAAATAGAAAGAAGGATGTTGAGTTGCCATCCTTTAGCTTTGCGAGTGTATCAGCTGCAACGGGTAACTTCTCGGTAGAAAATAGGCTCGGAGAGGGAGGGTTTGGACCTGTTTACAAGGTAAAAGTTTAAGATATGAACTGCAGTGCTTTACCTAACACATCTTTCTTCATTATTATTATTTACTTGACCTGTTAAGTAACCATTCAAATGAGTTTTTTTTTTTTTCCCTTTCTTTCTTCCCTCCCTAAATAGGGTAAATCACTTAGGGGACAAGAAATAGCAGTGAAAAGGCTTTCTAGAAGATCTGGACAAGGGTTCCAGGAGTTCAGAAATGAGGCAGTATTGATATCAAAACTTCAGCATCGAAATCTTGTTAAACTCTTAGGATGCTGCGTTGAGCGAGATGAAAACATATTAATCTACGAATATATGCACAATAAAAGTTTGGATTTCTTCCTGTTTGGTTAGTGTTCTCCCATATTTAATTTGCACTTAAACTTAGATATATGTTCAACATGAGTTTTTTTTTTTTTTTCCCTTTCTTTCTTCTCTCCCTAAATATGGTAAATCACTTAGGGGACAAGAAATAGCAGTGAAAAGGCTTTCTAGAAGATCTGGACAAGGGTTCCAGGAGTTCAGAAATGAGGCAGTATTGATATCAAAACTTCAGCATTGAAATCTTGTTAAACTCGTAGGATGCTGCATTGAGTGAGATGAAAACATATTAATCTACGAATATATGCACAATAAAAGTTTGGATTTCTTCCTGTTTGGTTAGTGTTCTTCCATATTTAATTTGCACTTAAACTTAGATATATGTTCAACATAAGGTTTTTTTTTTTTTTTTTTTTTTTTTTTTTTTTTTTGTTTGTAATTCAAGGCAGATCACAATATAAGTTTTTGTGTAACTCAAGGCAGATACAAACAAACAAGGGATGTTAGATTGGAGAACACGTATTCATATCTTTGAAGGGATTGCTCAACGACTTCTTTACCTACATCAATATTCAAGGCTTCGTATAATTCATAGAGATCTAAAGGCCAATAACATTCTTTTGGATAGCGAGAAGAACTCCAAAATATCAGATTTTGGCATGGCAAAAATATTTGGTAGTAATGAATCAGAAGCAAACATAGACAGCATTGTTGGAACTTAGTAAGTAAAAGAAAAATTCTTTACCAAACACTTACACAACTTATATATGATAGATTAAAGAAAGATCTACTACGAGATATTGAAACTGGTTCTATTGTATGCTGAAATTTAGTGGGTATATGTCTCCTGAATATGCAATGGAAGGTATTTTTTCAATAAAATCTAATGTGTTTAGCTTTGGAGTATTGCTGCTTGAGATTGTGAGTGGCAAGAAGAACATTGGTTTTCATGGGCGGAGCCACCTGTGGGCTAACCTGGGCTACAGCCCAGGTCAACAAAAAAAAAAAATTTTTTACTAGTACTATTACCTATCAGCTATAGCCCAGTCCAACTTTCCCAATCCATGGCCCAGCCCACTAGGCACTAGCCCTTATCGACCTAACTATTCAAGACTTTAAGTATTCAGCGCATACTTCTGCTACACGAATGAGTTCACTGATAGTCTGACACAAATCATACAACTATACAAGGCCACAAGAGTTTGAATATAGAAGACTGAAACACTAAATGATTAAATCCCATGAATCACCCAGCCACTTGAGGTTCAGAATTGGACCAGATCACCAGAAGATTTAAGACTTGATTACTTGAAAACTCAGATTAGAATGGAAAACATGGGCCATGATCTTGTAAGTTGTAAGTGCTCAAATTTAGATTATATATATATATATACACACACACACACAGAAGACTAAAACACTAAATGATTAAATCCCATGAATCACCCAGCCACTTGAGCTTCGGAATTGGACCAGATCACCAGAAGATTTAAGACTTGATTACTTGAAGACTCAGATTAGAATGGAAAACATGGGCCATGATCTTGTATATATATAATCTAAATTTGAGCACTTACAACTTACAAGATCATGGCCCATGTTTTCCATTCTAATCTGAGTCTTCAAGTAATCAAGTCTTAAATCTTTTGGTGATCTGGTCCAATTCCGAAGCTCAAGTGGCTGGGTGATTCGTGGGATTTAATCATTTAGTGTTTCAGTCTTCTATATATATATATATATATATATATATATATATATATAATCTAAATTTGAGCACTTACAACTTACAAGATCATGGCCCATGTTTTCCATTCTAATATGAGTCTTCAAGTAATCAAGTCTTAAATCTTCTGGTGATTTGGTCCAATTCCGAAGCTCAAGTGGCTGGGTGATTCATGGGATTTAATCATTTAGTGTTTCAGTCTTCTGTGTATATATATATAATCTAAATTTGAGCACTTACAACTTACAAGATCATGGCCCATATTTTCCATTCTAATCTGAGTCTTCAAGTAATCAAGTCTTAAATCTTCTAGTGATCTGGTCCAATTCCGAAGCTCAAGTGGCTGGGTTATTCATGGGATTTAATCATTTAGTGTTTCAGTCTTCTGTGTGTGCGTGTGTATATATATATATATATATATATATATATATGAATTTGTATATGAAATTGACAAATTGTGCATATTAAATATATCTTTCAAATATAAAAATAGATATATATTAATATATATATATATATATAGAGAGAGAGAGAGAGATTTGCATACTTTAATCTAGGGTTTCAGTTACTTTAAATTTGGGATTTTTTTATTTTTTTGGGAGAATTGAAACTTAGGCTTTTATTAGTTTATACATGAGCCCTGTTTAGTGCACCCGAACACATATCTACTTTGTCTATTGGCTGTAGGATGATCTTATGTTCCAATTTCAAACCAGATGTCTATTGGCTGTAGCAATTAGCATGATCTTATGTTCCAATTTCAAAGCCCTGTTTGGTGCACCCGAACACATAGATGATTATAGAAGATCACAAAGCCATAACTCATAAGGTGAATGTTTATTGATGGTGGTATTAAACAGAGACACAACCCAACAATAAAAAACAGTGAGTTATGAACTTATGTGAATCAGAGACAAATTATGAGAAAATAATATAAAAGTATTATATATTTGCATACATTTGTTTGTTTTGTATGTGTGTGAGTTAGAGTGGGTTGAAATAAATTTCAATAAAAGTTTTTCATTTCTTTGACAATACTTTGTCATAAGAATTATTGTGTTCATTTTCAAATTTTTTTTTATCTTTAGCCCTCCCCACTTTAGAATCCTAGCTCCGCCCCTGCTGGTTTTTATCATGATGACTTTCTTCACCTCCTTGGATATGTAAGCAACTAACATCTTTTCCTTTTTGTTTTTGTTTAAACTTCTTTTAACCGTCATTTTATTTGCAAATTGTATAATTGAATGTTTCAGGCATGGGAGTCATGGAATTCTAATAGAGGGATGGAGTTGATGGACCCAATATTGGGTAATCCTTCTTCCACGTCTACATTGTTGAGATACATTAACATAGGACTTCTCTGTGTTCAAGAAAATGCAAATGATCGACCTACCATGTCTGATGTTGTCTCTATGTTTAGCAATGAATATGCACCTCTACCAACACCGAAGGAACCTACATTTTTTACCAACCGGCATGTGATAAACACAAATCCTAACAATGCTGGAAATTGTTCAGTGAATACCATAACACTTTCGGATATTGAAGGCAGATAACAATTTCATATTTTGAAGACATTTTGTTCAAATTGAAACTCTAATATCTTTGATTGTACTCTTAGATTTGATATCCTTTATCTATTATATGAAAAAATTTGGGGTTCCATTAATTATTATTTTATCTTGATATTTAAAGAAAATCCAGATTGAAGATTGAGACCAAATAATGAGTTACTAGATATAAGGATGTGATATTTATAAGGTTTTGGGTAATAATGTACCTTTTAGTCACATGTGATTATGTGTCTCAGAATACATATTTACCTATCATGTTACGGATTACACATTATAGGGATGGTCTGATAGACTCCTTGATTGGAGGAATATATGCACAATAAAAGTTTGGATTTCTTCCTGTGTGGTTAGTGTTGTCCCATATTTAATTTGCACTTAAACTTAGACATATGCTCAATATAAGTTTTTTTTATGTGTAATTCAAGGCAGATCTCAATATAAGTTTGTGTAACTCAAGGCAGATACAAACAAACAAGGGATGTTAGATTGGAGAACACGTATTCATATCATTGAAGGGATTGCTCAAGGACTTCTTTGCCTACATCAATATTGAAGGCTTTATATAATTCATAGAGATCTAAAGGCCAATAACATTCTGTTGGATAGCGAGATGAACCCCAAAATATCATATTTTGGCATGGCAAGAATGTTTGGTAGTAATGAATCAGAAGCAAACACAGACCGCATTGTTGGAACTTAGTAAGTAAAAGAAAAATTCTTTACTAAACACATACACAACTTATATATGATAAGATTAAAGAAAGATCTACTACGAGATACTGAAATTGGTTCTGTTGTATGTTAAAATTTACTGGGTATATGTCTCCTGAATATGCAATGGAAGGCATTTTCTCAATAAAATCTGATGTGTTTAGCTTTAGAGTCTTGCTGCTTGAGATTGTGAGTGACAAGAAGAACACTGGTTTTTATCATAATGACTTTTTTCACTTCCTTGGATATGTAAGCAACTAACATCTTTTCCTTTTTGTTTTTGTTTAAACTTTTTTTAACCATCATTTTATTTGTAAATTGTATAATTGAATGTTTTAGGCATGGGAGTCATGGAATTCTAATAGAGGAATGGAGTTGATGGACCCAATATTGGGCAATCCTTCTTCTACGTCTATATTGTTGAGATACATTAACATAGGACTTCTCTGTGTTCAAGGAAATGCAAATGATCGACCTACCATGTCTGATGTTGTCTTAATGTTTAGCAATGAATATGCACCTTTACCAACACCCAAGGAACCTACATTTTTTACCAGACAACATATGATAAACACAAATCCTAACAATGCTGGAAATTGTTCAGTGAAGTAACACTTACTGATATTGAAGGCAGATAACAATTTCATAATTTTAAGATATTTTGTTCAAATTGAAACTCTAATATCTTGATTTGATATCCTTTATCTGTTATATGTTAAAAATTTGGGGTTCCATTAATTATTATTTTATCTTGATACTTAAAGAAAATCCAGATTGAAGATTGAGACCAAATAATGAGTTACTAGATATAAGGATGTGATATTTACAAGGTTTTGGGTAATAAAGTACCTTTTAGTCACATCTGATTATGTGTTTTAGAGTACATATAATTACCTATCATGTTATGGATGGTTATCTGATAGACTCTTTGATGGAAGGAATATTATCAGATAATATCTATATAAAGCCTTGGTCCTCACTCCCACATGTACTTTCTATATGGTTAGTCTTGCCCCATTGAGAGACATGAGTGGAAAGTGCAGAGGGATGGAAGACCAACGCAGAATGACGAGATTTTCTCTCAACTCTAACATTGATCAAAAGCAACATAGAGGTTGGGGATTAGGTTTTTGTCAAGAGGTTGAATTTCTTCATTTTCTTGCTACTTTCATTTCTTAAAAATCAATCAAAATTTCGAAACTATTTCATATTAGGTCTTTTTGAGGGAAACTTCTCTGTGAGGACCGATTTCCTTTTTCCTTTTTTTCTATTTTCTTTTTTATTTATTTTTGTGTTCAGGTCGTGTGGGCCGAACAGGGTCAAGTGCTTGGGAAATTTTTCCGGCACTATCATTTATTCCGTTGGTGTCACATGCTGTTAGAGTATTTCTCAATTTCATCATAGTACCTTATTTGAGGTGGAGAAATCTTTAGTTAAGGTGGAGCTATGGTGGAGCACGTATTTTGATTTTTGCTTATCTTTTGCTACTGCAAAAGTTGAACCGGTTCAACCTGGGGTGAACTAGTTCAACCTGGGCATTTCGGATTTTGGCTTAGCTTTGGCTACTGCCAAAGTTGAACCGGTTCAAGTGGGGTGAACCGGTTCAACCTGGGATTGTAGGTTTTTTTGGCTTTGGCTACTGCTAAAGTTGAACTGGTTTAAATGGGTTGAATCGGTTCAATTGGGACAGTGAGTTATTGGAATCTATGAAGCTACAAGAAATAGTTTCCTAATTGGTTTTGGAAGCCAGAAGACTTAGGGAAAAAGCTGTAGATTTAGGGAAGAAGTTGTATCTCTATTTTAGAGTTGAAGACTAATATAATAACTCCTTGTAGCCAAATTGATCCTTGTCCAACAAGGAATTGGGCTTAAAGACTCTATAAATAAAGATGGTATGAGAAAGACATAAAATTGTAAAGAGAAAAAGAGAGTTGAGATTGTGTGAGAGAAAAGAGTGTGAAATCAAGTTTTTGAAGTAAAGTTAGTGGTTCTTTACCCGTGGACTAGGCAATTTGACAACACATAAATCTCATTTTTACTTGTATGTGATTTTTTATCTGTTATATTTGCCAATTGAGTGTGTGAAACCCTAACACATTCATCATACATGACATGTTGAGGGCTTATTTTTACACTTGTGTGTATTTATTTATCTCATTTGGGGTTTTAGTGTAGTTGTAAGACATGTGGGACCCATTCTTTAACTTATTTGACTTGTGTTGTTTAGTGGAGGGTGAGTGAGTGATATGTGGTTGTGGTTGTGCAAGACTGTTGTATGGGTGTGTCTATATGTGTGTGAGGAGAGAGAAAGTCACCATAATCATCATCATCATCAGTCTCTCTCTTTCACGTTTTTTCTCTCCCTATTCTTCTCCATTTTCTTCTTCCATCATCCACCTTCACTCCACATTTTCTCCATCTTCCACCAAGACTTCTACTTGGCCATAGAAAAGAGATATGACATGTAACGACCCAAACTGGGGTCCGGATCGCTAACCAGGTCCTTACCTGAACTTGAGGACATACTAGGGGTTAAATGGTCTTTTTACAATATAAAAGGATAATCCATCTTTAAACTAGTCAAATGAGGTTTAAAACAACTATTCTAGTCATTCCGTGATGCTTGGTGAGGTTCTACGGTCACCGGATATGAATTCCCAAAAGTGCCTTTACCAATTCGAGGCAAATTTTGACACTGTCCCACCAAAACAACCATAACTCTCAACATAGATGGAATTTGAAAATGAGGTTGGTCTCATTATAAAGCTAACTCAAAATCCTTGAAAATGGACTCAAGAATGACCCTATTTGGTTTCGGGATGAAGAAGTTATGACTGTTCGAAGTCAAGCATTCCAAGCTGTCAACTGAAGAAGCCAATTGGGAGCACTGGGGGACTTGAACTGGTTTAGTGGGGCTGAACCAGTTCAAGATGGGCAGAACGCTTATCCTCGAACCAAAGGTCCCCCCTTGAACCGGTTCAATGGGTTGAACCGGTTCAAGATGTCCAGAACCTCAAAATTGCCACAAACAGCCTAAAATTGAATATTTGAGCACATGAACACCCCTATGGTCCCTTGGTGACCTTATTTAAGGTCTAAACCTGTCCCGAACATGTAATTAACAATGTAAAAACGTAATTAAATCCGTGCTTGCAATTAAACCGAAAACAAGTCCACTACATCGTTTAAAGATCAAATTATACAAATCCCATTTTTATACAATTTTGAAAAGAATTAAATACAAGGAAAGAGGCCTCTATGGCCAAAATTACGTAACTTTAACACAATTAAAATGAAATGAATTCCTAACTACATCAATGCGCACAGATGCATATCATTCCTCGGCTCACCTCCGAATTCCTGAAAAATGTTAATAATAATAGGGTGAGTGTGACAACCTGAATTTTTTTTTAAAGATTTTAATTTATAATTTTATTTTGAGTTTGTTTTAGTAGAGATGTGGTGTTATTTTATATATATTTATTGAATCTGGAAAATGGAGCAGCAAGGTGTTCGAATTTTTGGGAAGAGAAATGGGTTTGGTTTGGTTTTGTATATATATAATAATAATAATAATGTATATGTGGGAAAGAGAGGAAAGACAAGTCAGTTGAAGAGAGAATGAAGTAGAAGATTGAAATGGGAATGGTAATTTAGTGGGGTCCACTTGATGATGAAAAAGAATTTTTTATTTTTATTTTATTTTTATTTTATTTTTATTTTTTTTATGGGTTTTAATATTTGTCACATGTTTTTATATATATATATATATAAATATATTATATACATATATATATGCGTTAGGTGCATCTGATGGAAGAGATAAGATGTTAGCCGAATTAGGAAGAGAAGATTGAGATGAGAATGGGTTAGGTGGCGAAATTAAAGAGAAAGGAAAAAGGAAGAAAGAGAAAAGAAAGAAAAGATTGGAAAGGTGTTCTGGGGGACCCACGAAGTGATTTGTTGGCCAATTTTCCTTGGCTTTGAAATTTCACATGGGCTAATGAAAAGATAGTGGAGCAGCTGAAATGATGAGAAAAGGCAGTGGTGGGGTCCACTTTTGTTCTTAATCTTTGATTTGGTAATTTGATATTTTGTGGTGAGCTTTTGTGTGAATTGTGAGGTCGGTGCATTTGCTTATAAATTTAGTGTGTGCCCGCACTAAGTGAATACAGAGAGAGTTTTGAGGAAAAATTTAGAGTGAATACAAAGTGAGTTGAGAGAGAGACAGAGAGGAGCCAAGAGTTGTAGAGGAGGCTGGAGATTGAGGC